GCTTAAAAGGGTCGTGCGTAAAGTGAAGGGTGTTGTGGTCGTTAATATGACTACAAGAGAGAAAAGCAATAAAATGTAATGTACGTGTTTCAAATGGGAATGGAAGGCTAATCGTGCAAATAAACTCTTGCCTAAAAATTTGTATTACACCATGTCAAATCATTTGGGAAGAAATCTAAGGCCAAGAATACCCCCAGTTGAAATTGTATAGAATTATTCTTTCTCTCCCCCGCCAAATAATGCTTGCCATTCCTCAACCATAAACATCCCCAGCTCAACTTCTTTTTACGAACCTTCTGGATTTGAGTTGAAAGCGTTCGACTTTGTAATATGCAAACCTCGTGGATTGTGGCGACCATTTGTCCGTACGTTCCGAAAAGTTTTTGGAATTTAGAAAACTTTCTTTCAGTGATCGCAAACATTCAAATATACTTTTCAATAAATAAGTCGAGCATATTTTGAAACAATACAAAAACGGAGATATCATAAACTGGGATTTAGAATGATAAATCAATGAGTAAATAATTAGTCCATCAAATTGAAATTACATTGGAACTGGCTGCTTCCTTTATTCCGAGGACTGATGATGTATTCAAGTTCAGTCGAATCAGAGTACAGTATACGTCGAGCTCTTCGTTCATTTCCTCTTCTCCAAAGGACAAAAAAAAGGAAGAATCGATCGAATCTCACACTTAATTACGCCAAATTCGCAAGAAAAGAGAAACTTGCTGAGTAATTCTACATGACAACCTTCCGAGAAAAAAAAAAGAGGAAAAGCGAACCAATAAGCGAGCCGTGGCCATCAAGGAACAGGTCCCAATTCAGCGCTTAATTTCTTAAGAAACACGTTCGCGTTTGGCCTGTTTTCGACACGGTATAATCAGCAGCAATTAAGTTCGACGGAAGCATCCTTCCGCCGAAACAGTGGCCCATGAAAAAGAAACGCGTGCATGTGATGGGTTAATCGCGAAGGAACCCCGAAAAGCCCGGGACGTGTTTAATTCATCGCCCCGATGAGAGAACCCGAGGATATAAGAGTAGACGAAACGTAGCAGAAGCAGCCATTAATTTCGGGTGTTCATGCATGTGTAGCTGAGCCGTCCTATTTTTCTGCTTATTCCCGTGTTGTGGCTGAGACACATCATCTTTCTTCGCATTAATCAGCACGAATTGTTGCGGATTAAATTCCCTGCTCGGCGAAAAGAGGCATTCGCAGAAAGGAATTCCCGTCCCTCGTTATTTCTCAACAGTTTCTTCACACGGACCGCAAAAAAAGGAGGGTGTCAAGTGATAACATTCTTCCAGCAGGATAAAAATCATCAATCACGAGTTTTTGCGCTTTAAAAATTACGTATACTGAATTCACGATTCACCTGCCACACAAAAATACGAGAAGAAGTTCTAAAAGATAAAATGCCCATGAATTGAGGCGTCACGATAACATTTCTTGCCGCTGGAAAAAAAGAAACAAATTGTCACGTTGTTGTTGGAAAGCTCTATAATTTAGCGAGCAAGGAAAATTCATACAATGAAGTCTCGGCTTGTCCGGAAGAACGCCAAATTGCTCGTCAACGAGGAACAGCGGAAGCAAAAGCTTTTGTTTGTTGTTAATGGGGTGTTCATTAAAAGCATTCAATTATTAGTCTTATTCAACAGCGTGGACCGTAACAGCAGTTAGTATTCAAGCACACGTCGTCACATTGAATTATTGGTCTGAAAAAAATCTATTTCCTTCTTTATCCTTCAACACCAAGAGACGAAATATTTTTAACCAATAATACTTACGAAGTACAAAAGCGAAATTCCACTACATATACATCTTCATTAGCATTCCGTTGTATTGTGCAGTACCCTCGATTTTGAAAGGCTAATTTTATTTTTAGTGACTGACATTAAAAAAGTTCACGAATTATCAAAAACAACATGATATCTTCCACACAGGGTAGATTAAAATGCAAGGAACAGTACCCAAAAAGACACAAATTTCGAAATTGAAAGGATCTCATTCGACTTATCCAATTTAGATTGTGATGAAAGTGGCAAGAAGGAATATTTCAACCAAATTTGGTGCAATCCTTAGTGTCACAAAATGTGCCAGGGCAAATGGGTCAAATGGGCACTGAATCAGGATCTGACTGCACTATTATGCATTCTTCTGGACTCTTATCAAATGAATAAAAGCGATGCTTAATCAATCCTAAACATGCCTATACGAATTCTCAGATTTAAAAAAAATTATTTTGCGAAATTGATATGTCCTTTGTCGAACGAAAACTTAAAAATGAACAAAACTTTGAACTAATAATTCCTGTAAATCCACGTATGATGTTATGGTTTTCATGAGGTATTTTGACCCATTTCCATGTTCTGCAACGAAGCATGTGTTACTGGGTCATCTGATCAATGCCATGGGAGCATTCGGGCATGAAAAATTCAACAAGTCTCTTGCTAATCGTCAAGTGCTGTGCTCTCCATGGGGTAATCCTCAGAGACGCTCGCTTAATTCGCACACTGTTGCACAACCCTATTCATGCATGCGCATAATCTCAACTACGCAAATAATCCAGGTTTTTGGGCTCCCGAGGATGCCGTTCCCAGTGACATCCTCCGAGGGGCGGGATGCTATCAAACCTGTTTTTTTTTCTCTCTCAAATTACGCACTCTCATTATATTACGTTACGATGTTAAACAAAAACTTGATGTGAACGGTAGCAATTTAATATACATACGAGGTGTGAGATTCGCTGGTAACTGCAAGAATTGATTCTATAGGTTAAGAGAACCGCCTCTGATTGAGAAAAAGCTGCGGCGTTTTGCAGCCTTTCCAAATAAAAATCCTCTTGCTTGAATTCAGAACAATTTGTGGTATTCCAATAAAAAACAAAAATTTCAGAAAAATTTTAGAAAAAATGGAAACCCCAACCAGCCTGGGAAGGGCTAGGCACTTTTTATTATTAACTCCCTAACTTCCGTATTTAACCAGTATTATACGACGCGCACATTTTTCTGTAAAATCAAAGTGAAACATTGAGGTACGTAACTATTAATTTTCATATGGTAAAAAAATCATATGAAGTCAGCAGTGCAAACTGAAATAGAGCCTCTGCAGGTTATAATAATGAAAGGAAACTTTTCTTTGACACCAATTCTTTTAAAATGCTCGATTTTATAATAAAGTACAGGTAGTTTTGAAAAAAAAGGGGTAATATATATTCATCATCATTTTTTTTGGTAAAAGTTTGATTTCAAACATAAAATAAGACTTTGAAATTTACATGAGGATACATTTTCAGGCATAGTCCACAACAGAAAACTAAGCTAGGCCTTATTTGAGGAGTTGTGGTATTTACGTCATGAATACACTAATTTCAACGTAATGCGTCTTGAAACACAAAATCAAAGTCTATCACACACCAGAACTAAGCCACCTCTTCTATCGTATCAGGAAGCTCTTCTGAACAAACCTCTATGTTCCATGGTTTTCAAGTGAGTGCTCAATTAATTTGATTATTTTTGAATATACAGTACAGATACTTTTTTTTCGATCAGAGAACTTTACTCAAATCATATGAGGAAAAAGTGTTGGAACTTGCTTTTGTGGCCAAGAATTTAGTTCGTACAACTTGTCTATGCTTTGAGAAGTGTTTGTAGATTGATTTCAATCTTCTATTTTTATTCATGTTTTGTTTTTGTGCCACGAGCCGCAAAACACATGCTCCTCAACGCAGTCAACGGCATTACTTAGTAATTTCCAGCGAGGAACTCGTAGCTGGAACTGGAAACTTTGTCTGCTCTCGCTGAATCTCGAATGACATGCTTCAGGTTTAATTTCGAAACGAATGCAGCACTCGTTGAAAGAGTTGGCCTAGAAAGTCGAACAGCAACTTCTTGTCGCGCATGAACGGATTTTCGCGAATAGAAATAAAATCGCTGAAAAAAAAAACGAAGTGCATCATGCTACCGTGTCTCGGTTATGCCTTCATGCAGCAGCAGCAACAGGAGAAGAGATGCAAGCTTTTTCTGCCCCCTCGGGTTCCAAATTGAGCATGATGAATGTTTGATACAAGCCGTGCTCGGCTCCATATGCTGCGAACGGTGAATATTTGATGGCCAGGGGCGATATCGTCGACAGCAACCGATGTCGGCGTCGTCGTTCCGCTTGCTCAATTCTCGGGGATTCATCCTTCACAGCCTAAACGTCAGCATCCACGCGAAGAAGGCCGAACTTTGATGGAAATCGTCGCAAGACCCTTTTTTTTCGAGTGAATTCAAAGTCGGCGATTTTCATTATACGCAAAACGTGTGCTGATTTTCTTGCGCTCTCTGTGCGACTTCCACGTTCACCCCTGGGGGTCTGTCCCGGATCGGGAGTTCTTTACCCCCCCCCGTTCGTACCAGCGATCATGGTCACTGTCGATATAGTGCTTCCTTGATATGGCTCCAAGAACGTCCACTTCCCCGAATTTTCTTTCAGAAAAAATATAAACAAGTTGAGCAATTCGATATCCGGGTTCATGCAAATTTGATGCAATAAAATACGTGATTAAAGTATAAGGGAAAAAAATCAATAACATTCATGCGACTCAAGCTAAAAATCGCTCCGCTAATTCCTACTGCAATTTTACAGTGAGATACAGGCCATGCCTGGAGAAATCCAAGGTAAAAATGCATCTTCAAGAAGGGCTGTTTTTTAATTAAAAGATTAATAACCAATGCTTGGTCTTGTATATCCAGCCATCTTTCATCAATCTTGGTTTCTGGGAAAAATGGCTGAAATTTATTTCTCGCACAAGGAGTGAAATCAAACAGATTCTGAATCCACGATCATAGCCGGATCTGGATCAAAATTATTTTTCCATGCTCTGTGAAGTTTAAAATATTTTTGAATCGTTTAAAGATTAAAATTGATTAAAATTAAAATTTTATTGACATGTGAGAAAGTGCAGACTTGTCTATTTTCCGCGTACATATTTTATTTCCCGAAAATAGACCCGCAGACTAAAAAAGGTTGAGAACTACGAATGATTCTTCATTGGAGCTTTAAGAGTGTCGTTTGACCTCACTCAAGAAAGAATGTGACCAAGTATTTGACATGACATGAGATTCGAGGCCAGGAAACTTCGATATAGAAGCCGGAACTGAAAAATTAATCCCGATGTCTTCTTGTCGAACGGGATATTCGAGGAAGTTTCCCTTGAGCAATTTTCGAAGAACTATCTCAGCAGAAAACATTTTGGTTCACCTTTCGTCTGGGCATCGAAGCATGAATAAATCTCTGAGTAATACACAGCGCTCGGTATAATTTGGCAGGCGAAGCTAGCGAATTATTTTCTCAAATAAATATGAAAAAAATAAGAAATGCACCTACTAGATCGAGAGCAGGCATATCCCAGAATTTTAAATGAACCGGACTCGGGATAAATGCTCAGCGCAACTCCGCGCACCGTCTTGCCAATTTAGCTCAGATCAAAGGCCCACGACTGCAGCAGCAGCCTTTCGTCTGAATAAGAGATTATTATGACGACTCCGATAGGGGTTAATATGACTGGAGCGAGGGATGCAGAAAAATAAAGTAAAAAAAAAGTGGAAGCGAGCGACGTACGACGTCCTCGAAGAAGAAGAAGAAGAGCCAGAGTCGAGACCGGAAACGTCGATGATTAGTGGCAGCACGCGTGTTTCTGTTCCACTTGGCAGAGCTGCGGAGTCGACAAGCTGCTGCGTGGGGCCCAGTGAGCAGAAAAGAGCAGTCCCCTGAGGGCACCGGCTTCTTTCCTCGCGATGAAGACAGCGACGACAACAGGTCCGAATGCGGCTGGCTTCACCCCGACAGCAGAACGACGATCGGACTGGCTGTCAGAGTCGCCTTCTCTTTTCTCGACTGATTTATTTCATTCATTTTTCCTTCTTATTATTGGCTCGTACAGTCCAGCTGAGAGTCAATCAATTCCTATAGAATGCGAAAAATCACAATTTTACTACCTTTTTTTCACAATTTGGCAAGCAAAACTCGAACACTAATGCACCATAATAACTTGGGTTCAACAGGCATTTTACGTTGTAGTACTTCATTATATTTATTGTCCGAAAATTGTGATACCTGATACGGTTGAATCAAACAATTTATCAACCAGCAACCTAGCTTGTGGTGAAAACTAAGCTGTTTAAATTAGTTTCCTGCAGTACAGTATTCCCTCAGTATATGATACAGCAGCATTGGCCACCACCAATGTTGCTGTATCATATACTGAGCCACCGCCAAAGTGGTGGCCAATGTGGCGGCTGTGAAGGCGGCTGTTGATGAAAATGGCAGAATTGCCTTGGATGACCTAAAGGCAACCCTTAGAAAGAATGCCAAATTGATTTCAAAAATTCTGAGGGGGAAGCTGGGCTACAACAAAAAAAGGGCGCCTCACCTTTTGAGTGGAGAGCGAAATTCTGCCATCAGGGTGAATTATGAAAAAAATCCAAAAAATTTGTCAAACAGGGCTGATATTTTTTTTGTGCCAAGGAATATGTTCTCCCTAAAGAATAAATTTTTTTCAGCTTGATTGTGAGCCATTTTCATTGCTACTCCAAGAACTTTTGTTAGAACCCTAGCATAAGAAAAAGGAGAAGTATAATGCAACCAATGCCGCGGATGGGTTACTAGAAATAATTTATTGTACAAGCTCCTTGCATATTCACAAGAAGGCATAAGGAAACTTCCTTCCTATAGGAACAAATTTCCTTCCATATTCTTATACTCTACTGGTATATTAGCCATCCATAATGAAATTTAAAAAACCTTTTAGGACTCATAAAATGCAATAACATTGTGATTTGAAAATCGACTTTTTCCAAATCATGGAGTACCAAGATGAATTGTCAACCTTATATAATTTCTCATCAAATGTTTTCCTCCAAATTTTTTATTCAACTAAAATGTATATGCTGTGAGCAGGCTGAACACCTTGTGCTTTAATTTGCATTCAGTAATTGACTTATGCTTCAATTTTTATCACTGATATTTAATTTTTTGTATTGAGAAAGGGAAGAAAGTGTATGCATTCACATCAGTTTTGCAATTGTATGTGTTGGGATTTATTTTTCCCCTTTTAACATTTATGTACAGCTATATCTCTACCTCCCATTCTGATATGTGATGGAATGTGTTAGGATGGATGTGGGTGGGTACTGGGGAGGGAGTTTGTGTATGGGAACATAGCTTGAACCTTCTGAACTGTAAAAAGCAGAAAAAAGCTTGCTGATCAACCAATTGTTGCAGACTAATTAAAAGTTTTAAACAAAAGTAATTCAAAAGTGGATCAATAGACAGTTGGAAAATGAAGCACAGAATCTGCCTCGGCTGGGAATCTTCAAGGATCAAGGAGATTCCAAATTTAAGATTTTGAAATGTATTTCAAATAATTTTTCCCATAAATAGAAAGAGTACCAACACAAGCAACAGAACAAAGTTATTAGTCAAAAAATCTCTCAGCAGACTTCTCACATAATTTTACGTTGGGCAATGAACTTTTCAAGACTGGTGGTGATTTCTTGATTTAGGCTGGCTTTGATTAATTTCTTGAATTTTTTCCTTGATCAGGATACTGGATAAAGGGTGGGTTGGCGCCAAGAAGTCTGATTGGCTCAAAAAAGTCAAGTCAAAAACTCTTGGCACCAGATTTTTTTTAGGAGGGGGAAAAAGATGTTACTGGATCTCTTGTTAGTGGTTTCTACCTAATTGGGTGGTTTTTTCCACTCAATAAGTTTAGCTTTTTTGATTTGGTTATTTGTTCCGAATAATGGGGGTATGAACTGAGTCACCAACATCAATCAATAAAAAACCTAATTTGGATCCCAATGCCCATTCGGTACTTTTTTGAAAAAGTTACCTTCTGTCAGTTGCAGAAACTGATTTTAATCAACATTCGATACCTTGAGTGGGACTCTGGTTTGCTATTTCAACTCCGCAATTCACTATTGAAACATCTCAATAAGGACGTTTTGAATAAGTTGCCCATCAGCAGCGTGGATATTCTAAGCAGCAGAAAACATTCAAGAAACTCTTTTGTCCTAACAAGTTCCACTCATTTCCTTTAAAGGTTCTCCCCGAATCGGACAAGCAAAAAAAAAAAAAAGAAAGCTCTGTACATGTGTCCCTCTTGTCCCCTGTGGCCGACGGCCTGAGAGCATGCCGTGCACCTTCTCAGCACCAAACGAAGGAAGGCAGCAGGACGAAGAGCATCCCACTGCTGTCCCAGCTCAGTATCCCGAACAAGATGGTGGAGGATGAGCGGGTAGATAAAAAAAAAAAAAAGCGAGTAGAGCAAGAAATACAGCAGTCGACCCCCGGACTTCCTGCGGAAGGAAGTGAGGAATGCGAAAGAGGGGAATAGGGAAATAAAGATGCGTTGATGCAGCGCTATGGGATATCCCAAGCGACGCGTGGACGACGGAAATCGTAAGTCGCGCATCGACGCTGATTGCTTCGCACACCAACGCCGCTATTTTCCGCTTTTCTAGGACAACCGTTTTCTTCTCTGAAGCAGCAGTATATTATTACCTGCGCAGGGTTTAACGTGGTTATCCTTGCCATTCCCTATGACAATAAAAAGAAAACATTTTTTTTAAATTGGCCTCATCTGTTATACAACTTTTAAAGAGCAGAGCAAATGACTGATGATTTTGTTGTGGGGTGGTGCATTTCAGTTTGACCCAAGGTCACTGAAATGATTGAGAAGGCCTGGGTTGAGAAAAACCAGGAGGCAAATCTTCTATTGTTTTCAAGATTCTTCCATACAAGTTGTACATGCCAAGAACGCCAGAAAAATTTCCACCCAAGAATGAGGAATTTTTTTTCATTTTCCATTCAAAATTTTCTGCAGGATTTGAAAAAAATTAGGCGTTTTCCCAACTTTGGCCTTGGTACAAAAGTAGGATTTTTTAACCCTTCTGCGGCAAAGTTGGACTTTTTTGCAGATTTTGGTGGCACTCAAGAGTGAAATTAAAAAAAGCCCCCAAGAGTGTGTGCAGGGTGAAGTCCGAAAAAATCCTGGCATTTTTTTAATTTCTCCACAGAAAATTTTCACCTGAACATGAAAAAATGAAAACTTCAAGGCTCCCTATTTTTCCCCTGGCCTTATGCTGTTTCCCCATTCAAAGATTAAATTTAAGCTTGCAAGCCAAGAGCCCAGGTTATAGGTCAATATGGAAAAAGTCCAACTCAGGACTTTCCCAGCATTTCATTATCCCTGGAAAAAATCTGATTTTGCCCTCCACCACCTGGCAGGGGTTGCTTAACCTTGCGCAAAAATATAATGCACACCCATCAGGAAAAAAAGTCCAACTTTGCCCTGGGATGGAAAGGAGGCTGCCGCTGTCCAAAGGTTAATTTCTAGCAGTCATTTGCATAACAGTTTGCTAAAATATCTTGAATTTTCTGCACAAGGGTTAATATGATTCCGCTTGAGTTTAATTATTGCACCAGTGATTTGATGAGGTCACATTGGTTTGGTTCAAGTTTTTGGAAGGTAAGTTAGTGTTTTTGGGGATTCACTGACCAAAACCAGGTGCTGGATATTTTCCAAATTCAAATTTTGGAAGAGGATTCCTAAACTTTTCGGCGCATGAAAATGACGCTTTCGTCTCATTCTTCTTTTAAAATCGAAGTTCATCAAGGAAATTAGCAAAACTTCCTTACCAAGACCAAATTCAGCAAAGGAAACCGTATCTTTTTTTCAGGATCTCGACGGAGATTTCTGACTTGACCCCATTCATGTATGCTTCCTTGCGTGACGTCGATGAGAGGAAATGGTTCAAGATACGCTGCCAACCCGGGTTTACGTCGTTCTCGAGACTATGCGGGTAGTAATTTCTATCCCTGATGTTTCCTTGATTACTCACGTCCGACTGAGTCTAGTTCATTTACTATGGAGGCAGAAGACGCGCTTGTTTTCTCCTCCAGGTTCACATTTCGCCGTGTCTCATGGTTCGTGAGCCAGCGTGACATTGAACTTGATGCAATCCGGCGGCTGAAGAGCAACTCTGCTGCTGACTGCTGCCCTTCCACTGCTGCTGATGGCTCGCATTGGAATCGAAGCATTCATCGTCTGGATTAACTTCCTCGATATTCTGCGAGGCCTTTTTTCCTATTTTGATTTTCTGTTGTGTGTGTTTTCTGATCCGGAGGAAATTGAGACGTATGAAGCTGTTTTTATTGGCTGTAATTTTTTATGGCCGGAATTGAGATTTTGTTGACCCACAACACGCGATATTTATCTACAACAACAATATTATTCTTCGAACAAAAATCTCAGTGCGAATCTCTTATTAATTTTTACACTCATCACTGGTGTTCTTTTGTGAACTCGCTGCCTTATTTCGCAACGTTGGCTTTTCATTTTCCTTGCTTGGCGATGATACTTCTCTTCCACAACGTGTAACTCCCTTTATAATTTGGATGCTTTTCTTCTCATTTCATTTTTGTTGGGATTTTCGCTGCCAAAGTTGAGATACGAAGCTTATTTAATTTGTTTCAATTTCTGATGGACGACATTAAAATTCGTCAAACTATATTGAACATCATGTGAATAACGAACATTTTTCGTGATGCTGCAGTATATGGCACTGAAGAAGAATTTTCTTATATTTTTGTCATTTCTCAAGGACGTTGTCGAAAATTTAGATGAGGGGTGTTTAGAAACACGAGATTTGCTAGGAATCG